ACTTTGTGAACAAATGGCTTTATCATTTCAGAGCTTTTATTTTTCTCTCCATACAGAAGATCAGAGAATGAAACTGGTATCACAGTATTTTAGATTTTAGAGCCCATAATAATGACAGTTTATGAAAGTAATCAGATTCACTGTTCAATTTAATTCTGGGTATATTTAAACCAGGATTACAGAGATCTATCTTAATAGGTAAATTAAATGAGCACTACTGACTAATCCACAGAGATGTTACCCTCCTAAAGTCAGCAGCAGTACTTTCTCTAGGGTAGTGCCCTCTTGCCAGCTCCTCACGCAGTAGAATTTGACAAATGTTTGTTGCCCAGACAATGTGATTCCTTATAAGCTGCTCTTTATTCAAGTCAAAAATGGGTATCTCTCATGTGACTTCTGGGCTGTCCACATGGAGATTCTGTCAGTCTCAGGTTTGATGCCAAAAGGTACTTTCTATTGAATATAAAATACTTTGGGCAACTGCAAGACAATCCAGAGGGCCATGTATCCCGGCTCACATCTACACCATCGTCACCCAAGTAAATCTCTCCCAGAGCATATCCACGACCTTTCCCGTTTATTAATCTTTGAAAACTCCTCCTTGACTATCCTCTTAGTCACTAAATCCACCAAGCAGGAATTAGTGGGGGCTTTTGGTCACATGACAATGAATGTTTAAATAGGATATAAGTAGTGAGCGTACTTACAGGAAATACAGCTTCACTGTTACAGATTGCAAGTTCATCAACCTGTTAAGTATTGAGAAGCAGTAACAGAATTTTCCTCCTCACAATTGTACGAGAATGGGTTTGTTTGGGTAAAGTGTTAGCAGGTATTCTCACTGCCTTTCTTATGTTTAGGTGAATTGTGGAACCTGCTGAGGATTTATGCTGTTTAGATTTCTTTTCCACCTCCCTGAACAGAAAAGCTAGTGGAGATGGGAATAATTAACCAATGGCTGCCCACTGGGAGCTGAGGGATAAGTGTACTTGCATTTTAAATGTTAGTGTTGATTCCCATGAAACTTGAAGTTAATGAACAAATTGCTATTCAGCAGTTCTGTCTAAATGAACTTTTACTATTCTTGTTTGTTTTCCCTTCGGCTAAAAGTGTCTCATGGGATGGGAATTACATAGTTTTGGTGATAAATTTGAAATATATAATGGTGTATTCTCAAATTTGAAGGACGTGATATGGGGCAAATTAAGCAAATATAGTATAAATGACTTATTTGGAGCTCAGAGACAATGTCTGGTGACTCAATAACAGTGTGGTTTTGAGAAGGATGCATTCTCTATGCTACTGGTTCCCTAGCTGAGGCCAGTTTGTGATGACGTGTTCCCTAATCCACAGCAAAATGAGAAAAAGAGGCAAATATTGGGAGTTTTTCTTAAAGCCAAAAAGATTCATTTAGAGACTTTATTTGGAGTTATGTCATTCCTATTTTTTTGTGTGCTAAAAATATCCCTTGTAAACAACGGCAATAATAGATTTTTTTCTGAGTGCCCTCACTTAATAAAATAAAAAAAGCCAACTTGAAAAATGTGAATTAAAACAGTAATAAGATACCATTACACACCTATTAGAATGGCCAAAATCCAGAACAATAACACCAAATGTTGGTGAAAATGTGGCGCAACAGGAACTCTCATTCATTGCTGGTGGAATGCAAAATGGTGCAGACACTTTGGAAGTCAGTTTGGTGGTTTCTTACAAAGCCAAACACACACTTATCATACCATCCAGCAGTCATGCTCCTTGGTATTTATCCAAATGAACTAAAACTTTATGTCCACACAAACACCTGCACATGGATTAATAGTAGCTTTATTCACAATTGCCAAAACTTGGAAGCAACTAAGATGTCCTTCAGTAGGTGAATGATGGGAACCATGTAATCAAGGTATAGTTTTTCAGGCCATAGCATGTTTTCCCTGGCTATTTTGATTAGGTTTTTTTCTTCAGTCAAACTAGTTCTTTTCTAACAAACAAACAAACCAACCCTAGTTTTTTTTTCTTTAGTCAAATCTACCAACAGATAGTCAATGATGAAGTAAAAAAGAAAAAAGAATGCATTGACATTTGTTAAAATCCAACTACATCATTCAGCCACCATATACCTTAATTATATGGATGATATAGAAGTTAAAGAAAACACAATTTTATAACTGATTAATAGACACTCTTAAAGGAAAAAACAAATTTGGCATGAAGTTTTTAAAACCTAAATTCTTCATTCTGGATTCCTTCAATAATCTATCTTTGGGAGAAAAAGCAACAGAGTACCCTCAAAGAACACAGAACTGTTGGTGGTAAATATAGGTTCCACGAGATGGCTATTAGAGGGAGAAGGAGAAGAGAGGAAGAAATAAAAAAATTATAAAGTAAATATTAATTATTTAAATTGCCCTCACAATAGTCCAGGCATTGTTGTAAAAACTTGATATCCATTTACTCCTCACAATTACACTGAGGTAGGATCAATGATTACACCCATTTTACAGGTCAGGCATCTGAGTCACAGAAAAACTAAGTAACCTGCAGAAGCTCACACAGGTGGCAAGCTGAACCAAGCAACATGGCTGCATGGTGCCTCTTAAACACGGCCTCTGCACTGCCACCGTCTGACATGCTACACGCATTCTCTCATCTCAGCCATGCAACAACATTACATGGCAAATAGCAACATCTCCAATTATGGATGAAGACCAAGTCTTAGAGTATCATGAATTTATTAAATGGCAGTGAAGCTGAAATCCCAAATGAGAGATTTCAGACTCCAAAGCCCTGGGGAAGAGGAGCACCAAGGTGACGTTGCTCAACTGGGCTGAAGAGGGATGTGGGCTCTGTGGTCCTTAAGAAGAAGCAAAAGAAAAAACTACAGAGAAAAGGAAATATCTGTTTGATCTATTAACCCTCAGATTTTTATTAAAATCTTAATATGCTTGTGATTAATAGGAAAACCATTTGTATTATTCAACTCATCTTTAAAGGTCGAAATACTACCAAACGTATTTTAATTGCAAGAGTTTTGAAGGAGGGCATGGGAGTCAGGATGAAACACTTGCTCTTTTGTCAGACTAAATTTTCAAATTATATCCTCCAGAGTTTATCCTGTGTTTGTGCTCATCACTTTTCATAAGGTGATTTTCCAAGGCAAGTCTTCTCCCGGTAATTAGAAGCGTTTATCTTAAAGCTCCTTTGGTTTTAGCAGTGAGGTGACAGGCTGTCATCCACATTGTTACTGACTCCCTCAATTAGAGGCAACAGTGTTTCACCTCCATGCAAAATATTAGTAAATTAACAATCCCCACTCTGCATTCATTGGGGAAATCTGCTCTGCTTGTGATGACGAACGTGACAAGCAGGGAGTAATCAAGGACTCTCCAGTAACACCTTTAAGCCTTGCAAACATCAATTAAAACTCTGGCTCTGCACCTTCTTGTTGGGGGTTTGGACTGTAGGGTAAATTTCCGTTTTTTAAGACACAATGCAGGAGTCAGCATTAGTAATTTGCAAAAGAAACAAGCAGTAATCCCAACAAAAAATAGCCACAGAAACAGACACCCTGATTTTCTGGAATCTTTCCTGTTAATCAATATCTCTTTTATACCATAAAATGAACTGTGGCATTATGAATAATTTTCAGATCAGATTTACAATTCTCTGACATGACAACTTTGACTCAAAGAGCAAATTCTAATAAATACTTCTTTATAGTGCTAAAAAAGATTGCAAAGAGACTACCATTCAAATGTCCTGATTTTTCTCTTTCAGATCTAAGGGCATCTTAGTCTAATGAAGAGATTTTTAACCCAGTGATTGTTAGGTCATAGGAGGTCTGTGGATGGATGTCAGTAGATTTACCTAAAATTTGTGAAAAACATCTTATGTGTATTTTATTGGGATAAGCATGGTCATTTTTATCAGATTCTCTATGGAGGCTTGTAACCCTTTAGACATGAAACTCTGGTCTAGTGAGAAGGATCCAAGGACTGATTGGAGGGCTCTGCTGAGGTCTGCCACCATCCCACTGTCATGGAGTTGTCCCAGTTTTAGTGTCTTTTTCTGTAAAATGCCTTCCTTTTTATCGCCACTAGGTTTTAATCTCTGATGTTGTAGGGATCATAAATTTAGCTGAATCTTTACCTCTAACTTCCTAAATTCTAATAATTATATTAACTAATGATTCAGCCTCATCCTTCATTGGCACAATTAAGTATCATTAACCATGAAACAAATGAAACATTTATGAAGATACTAATGTTTGCATTTTATCAATGGAGCGGAAAGATCAATACCTTCGATTCTGAGATGGTATCACTTCTTCATGACAAGTCAAACCCTTAGGAAACTTTTTTATGCCATCAGAATCTCATTTCTTTATGTGGTACATTATGATAAAGCCTAACTTAACAATTTAAGTCTAATATATAGTACTATGTCAACCGTGTGTTTTCAAGTTTATCAATTTTATTAGATTTCCAAAGACAGAAGAGTTGAGAAACTGGGCAAGTATTGCTTAAAATTATCCAAATAATTATTTCAAAATCCTTTTTTGTTCGGGAGCTATGGAATTCTAGCCAAGGTTAAAAATTATCTTTTGTAAAATCAAACTAAGATGAAAGTATTTTTGTTTGTTTGTTTGTTTGTTTGTTTGGTTGGTTGGTTGGTTTTTTTAGCTGAGCCATCCTGCCACCAGTTGGCAGCTCAGCGGCAGCTCAGCTCGGGCCAGGCATCGAACCACTGTTGCTCAGAGCTCGCACTCTTGAGCGAGCTCTTAACCAACTGAGCCACTCGGCCGGCCCAAAAGTATTTTTTTAAATCATTATGGCTTAATAAAGGCAAATCAGGCCAAAATAATTAGTTGTTTTTCATTGACTCTGCACCCAAGAAAAGCCACTTTCTTAATGTAAAGACAATTTCTAAATGAGAAAAGACTAATGAGAAATCTGAAAGATCACTCTCGTACTAGACATGTAAAACTATAGCTAACTTACGGTCATGATGAGCCCCTTTTCCTGGAAGTATTTAACCAACGGAGCAGCATTCTGTTTGAAGTTCATTAGTCTCCTTTGGGTAGCTTTCAGATTGTCATCAGGCCGCCCCTGTTGCTCTGCACGCTTCTGTAATCTTTCTTTGAGCCTCTGATTGGCACAAGCCAGGAACACCACCAAGTCGGGAGTACAGATCTGTGGAGAGCATCAAACCAGTAGACAGGCATTCAATATACCAACCAGTGCAAATGAAGGCAGTAACAATCACCTCTTTTGGGTCTGTTGCGGCTGCCATATGTTTTTTGGCTTTCTGTGTTTTTTCCCAGCACATTTCTGGGGCTGTCATGCTACACAATGTAGGAGAAGCCATTGCCCTTACAGTCCGTGTAAATGGCATACCCCCACCCCACACAGCCATATACAGTGACCCTATTTATTTCAGGAAAATATTTTTTGTTTATGCTCAAATGTATGTCCTGGCTGAACTAAAAACCACATTGGCCAAACTTTGCCAAATGTGACCTGATTTTACAGGGGAGATGACTATTGGGCCACAGAGGTTATCTACAGTAAATAAGTACTGCTGCTATTATTATGATTTGACGCCCTCTTAAAAGTATCTACTGTATGCCAGGCCCCCATGCTAAGCTATTTCCTATGATATTGCTAACCTTCACAATAATTTGCAAGGTAAATATTACCTTCATTTTACAGATGAGTAAACTGAGGCTCTGAGAAATGAAGTACTTGTCTGAGGCCATATGGTCAGTAAGGTCAAAGCTGATATTTGAACTTATGTCTCTCAGGCCTAAGGCCTGTGTTCCTTCCACTATTACAAAGCGCCAAATGGCCCAAAGACCTTTGTGAATTTCTGAAAATACCAAGGAATGACATGGGAAAAAGACATGATGGGAAACACATGAAAGGCAGTTTTGCATAGCGGTAAAGCAATGATCTCCAAATTTTTTTATTTCATCCTCACATTTGTAAATTATTTGCACACACAGCCCAATAAATATATACTTACTAATTTATAAATTATGCATGCATGTATGATAATGCATGCATTACCACACTAATATAGGATGCATGTTGTAAAATATAGTCATCCCTTGGTATATGCAGGGGATTGGTTCCAGGACCCCTAAGATACCAAAATCCTAGGATGCTCAAGTCACTCATATAAAATAGCATTGTAAAATAAATAAATAAATAAATAAATAAATAAGCAAATAATAAAATAGCATTGTATTTGCATATAACCTATGCACATCGTCCCCTATACTTTAAATCACACCCAGATTACTTGTTATACCTAATACAATGTAAATGCTATATAAATAGTTGATATACTGGACTGTTTAGGGAATAATGACAAGGAAAAAATTTCATATACAGACATGTTCAACACAGATGCAATGTTCATAGACCTGAGAATACACATCAGTAATCATGTAATATTTTAAAAAATATATTTTTCATCTGTGGTTGGTTGCATCCATGGATGTGGGACATGTGGATACAGAGCGCTAACTCTTTACACAAAAATACCATTTAAAAAGGATGAGTTACAATAATCTTCATTATATTTTCTTCTCACATCACAGCAGTTTGCCCTCTGCCCTCTTAATAGCATTGGTTAGAAAATGGACTCTGGAGACTGGAAATACGGATTCCAGTTTTTGCCCTTGGACTTAACAGCTGAGCAATGGGCAGATAACTTAACTTTGCCAAACCTCCCTGTCCTCTTCTGTCAATAGTGATACACAAACCTCCCTCCCTAAGTTATTATGAAAATTAAATCAGATAATATATGTAAAATATAAAGCACAAACCTTCATGTGCTTAATAAACTTTAGCTACGTTTATTATCACTTGATTTTTAAGCTTCTATGTTGTCCTAGTCCTTTAACTTTTTGTTCTTTATTTTATTTTTTTCTTTGCCTCCATTTTTTTCCTCCTCAAACCCACAAGTGGGGGTGTCCCCTTGAGGCTTAGGTAATTTTTTTCCCTCTCTTCAGATTCTCATTCTCTTCTCATTCTCTCAATGCCCTTCCACTCTTCTAGTTTCAACCACTACTACCCTTTGCAATGGATTCCAAATCTACATTTTCAGCACTGATTTTCAATAGTACTTAAATCCTATATTGTCAAATGCCTATATGACAGCTCTGCCTGTAAGTCTTAATGTTTTATTTGTGAATCAGCAAGGCCAAAATAAATCTCAGATCATTTTTCCCTAAATGAAATTCCCATATTGTTTGTTTATTTACCTATTTTTATGGTAGCAACATTACTTTCCTAAATCTCTGAGCTAGAAGCCTTAGTATCATTTCTAATCCTTACGTATCAAAACTTCAGTCTCTATTACCATTGCCTATGGATTTTGCCTTGAAACACCATTCAGACTTCTCTTCCCCCGATTCCTACTGCCACTGTGTAAGCACAGGCACATACTATAGCGTAAGTGACAAAGAGCATGAATTTTAGAATCAGACCATCATGAATTTGAATCTAGAATCTGCCATCTATTAGTTGTTTGTCCTTCGGCAAATGATTCAATTTCTCTGAACCTCAGTTTTCTCAAGTGTAAAATAAGGGGAAAAGCCCTCAATCTTAATAGCTTAGTATTTCCCAATTAAAAAAAAATGATCTAAATAGCTTTTGAGAAATCTTAACAATTCAGAAAAGCATTTTGTAATTTTTGTGTGATATATGATATAGATACTATCTGAATTTAAAACTCTTTTCAAATATTATACTATAAAATTCACATTTAATAAAATCTTTGGTAATATCTAGCCTTATCCAGTATAACAAATGACATCCTTTTTAATTAACTTTAAATAAATTCTATAAGGGAGAAGACAATTTTTGACAAATAAGTTAAGATGACATTATATGTGTTTGGTTTGGTCATAATGTACATTAAAATATGGAAAAACCCTGAACTACTAGCTCTGCGTTGAATGCAGATAAAAAATCTGCATTTTGAAATTCTTGCAGTTTGCATTTAAAAAAATTAACTGGTCCAACAGGTAGCAGGATGGCTCAGCTAAAAAAAAAAAAAATTAACTGGTTTACTTTAATATATTTTATATTATGTTTCAGACTGCAATGTAAGTGTTTCTCTCTACATAATACAATGAGGTCAGGGATAGACTTACATATGTAATCATCACTATATTTTGTCTTTTACTATTGGCTTTTGAAATACTAGATACAGCTTGAAATATAAGATTTTTTTTTACACTTTGAATAAAATTGCATTTTGCTTATTTATCTTTTTAAAAATTAATTGACCTTTTAAAAAAGCAGTTTTAGGTTTCCAGAAAACTTGAGTGAAATATCTAAGGCTTTTTTTTTTTTTTAAGATTTTATTGGGGAAGTGGGGGAGGGGAACAGCATTGGGGAATCGGGGAAGGGAACAAACAAGTTGCTGTCCTTTTATTCTTCTGTCTAGTTGTGGAGGACGTCGCTTCACTGGCCCATGTTAGTATTATCATTGCGCTCTTCCGGGGTGAGGCAGATTGGTTGCCGGCCATGAAATGGTTGCTTACAGAGGCTCACGGCAGCTCAGGAAAGCTCATGCCTGCTGCCGGCCAGCCCCACTGCAGCCTACGCCATCACTGGCGACTCATGGCAGCCCAGCTCCAGGTGGAGCTGTTGTTCACCATCTTAGCTATAGAGGGTACAGCGTCACCGGCCCATGTGGGATCCAAACCTGTGGCCCTGCTGCTCAGAGCTGGCGTCCCAAGCCACCTCTTAATCAACGCGTCACTCGGCTGGCCCATATCAAAGATTTTTGATCACTGAATGCACCTTCAGTTCTGATAAAGATGACTTTGAGGTGAATCTGCACAGTTGTTTTATTTTCTAATTGTGACTAACTTGCTGTCTTTCCTTCGTATAAATTAAACAATATATAACTAATAATAAACAAATAAAAATGTAGAACAGACAAGACCACCTTGGCAGCTAGAAACAACCAGCTGATTGTTCAACAGAGTGACAGCTGTCACAAGCATGTCCACACTTCTCCCAGTAACCACCATAAGGCTTATGTTCTCCGACAGAGTTCCATTTTAAAGGAAAAATATTTAAATTGTTTCCTATTTCCCCAAGATGTAAAATAGAAGCAGACACTATTCTGTTCCAAAAGCTGTGAAGACCCTAAAGAGCTAGCATGAAATTCACTTGTGAAATGTAGAAGTTTCAACAAAGTGGATCTTTGGCACACCTTTTCTTACCTTATGTTTTCAAAATATGTTTGCTGATTGAATAATTGCATGAATAAATAAATAAATGCCAATAAAAGCTGAGATATTGCTTTTGTCTTCATGGAAGTAAACTTCCCAACTGCTGTTATTGTTCCTCCCAGTGAATCAACTAAATCAACCTTTTTTTCCCCTTTCACTCTAAGGACAAATTGATATTCTTGTATCCATTTTCTTAAAGTCCCTACCTGAGTGTTTGCTCTGTTAAAAAGAACTTGTGATTGCCTTTGATAAGCAACATTGTATTTATTCACTGTGTCAGAATGCAAAATGAGCTTATTTTAATAATCCCCATTCTTAACTGTCAGCCCTTTTGATGGCCCTATTCTTTATGAAGATGTGTTAGAAGGCCTATGCTCCATAATTCAGATCACACCGTCAGAAACCAGGAAGCAAAGTTCTAAAGAGAGATGGGGGTGGGGAGGAAGAGAGATCACAGCTGGAACAAAAAACTGGAATCATAGAAACTAAGAGATGGAAAAAAACTTGGAGGTTATATAACCTAAATGAATGCCAAACCTGTAATCTTCTCCACAATCTCTTGACAAGTGATTTTTAAGTTTGAACCTTTAAACTGGAATGTTCTTGTGAACATTTGTTGTGATGGGTACTTGCTCCTTATAAGGCAGCCCCTTTCATTACTGGATGAGTCTAATAATTGGGAATTTCATTCTAATGCAGAGCTAAAATTTGCTTCCTCCTTCTGTCTAAAGGGAAAATGTAAAATAAACTATTTCTTTCACCTATTGAACACTTATTGAACATACACCATTATCACAGAGGCTAGACTAGATCATAAAAAGTAAGAATAGATAACTGGACTGCATTATCATTTAACATGGAGATAATTTCTGGGCAGAGCTTTTTACAGACTATGGGGCTGAGGGACAAAAACTGGAATATGGAGTCCACCAAGGA